ATTGGGGTGCCAACCCCCCATAAAGGCCAGGCACACTGTTGAGTACAAAAAACTTCGGCTTCCCATGCATGTAGCATTCACCAGGTTCTGACTCTCTTCGGGCATCTCTGAGGCGTGATGTCATGAGTTCCCCCAGCTTCTGAGGAAGTCCTGTTTTCATTCCTGTACTTGAGGGGAGGGATCAGAGGCCGAGAGAGGTGGTGTCCTGTTGCCAAATCCCTGCAGCTAGTGCGTCCCAGAGCCGGGACACAAGCCCAGACCTGCTGACTCTAAACCACTGGTTTGTAGACTTCTGCCTCGGGAGGCTGTGAGCCAGCATGTTTTCCCAAGAACATTCACCCCACTCCTCCTGTAAACGTGGTGCTGCGTAAAACTTCGAAAGACATCCGAGTATTAATGAATTACTTATATCTTTCCAAAATGCTCACATCAGCCCTGTTTTCCCTTTGGCTTCTGCTCGGATTCATCATGTGTGGACAGTCCTTTCCAAGCAGCACTTGGCTACTGTTTTGTCGAGTATAAGTTTTGAAGTCTTGCTCCTCTGATCCAGCAGAGAGTTTCCATCCATCTTCCTGCTTCATTAATCCCAAAGACAGCCCAGATGAACCTCTTTTTAAAAAATTTTTTGAACCTCTTTTTTTTTAGCATCCAAACTTACACACATGTGCTTTGGTCTGTTGATAAGGTGGAGAGGTTAAATCCTTTCAGCCCTGGTTGATAATTAGACATTCCCTTCCAGCTTGAGGCAAACTATCCCAGTAACTGGGGGTAGGATCAGAGTTGGTAGGGTGCTTGTCTTTTCTGGAAGTGGGGATGGTACAGAGGAGGGAAACTTACACTGTATGTAACACTTGTAACGTTAACAGCAAGGGTTGCCAGAGGCAAGAAGGAGCTACCTAAGTAAGCTGTTTATTAATACATCCTCCAGATTTGGGAGCACCTTGGAGGTTGGTTAATTGGTCTTTTTCCACATAGGGACATCATGGCTCCAAGAGTTGTGACCCAAGGTCTTATACTGATCAATAGCACATATATCACAGAGACTCAGGTCCCTTCCCTGTCCATCACTGTTCCTCTCAGAGGTAGCAGATTTACATCTTTTTCGATTTCCAAGAGACTAAACTTACAACCCCACAGTGGTCTTGCACGTGCCAAGGCATGCGTGTGTTCAAGTAACCAGAAATGGATAAACCAGAGCAACGATGAACTTCTATACCTTTCACCAAGTCCAGGTGCTGATGTGAAATGATTTCTCCATCCTGAATCATTTCTTATTCACGGATCTTTAGTTTGTAAGACTCCTGTTAACTTGAGGCCCTTCCCTGATTTTCTTCCTGGAGTCATTCTTTGTCACTTCAGGGTAACTGTGAAACAGTGTCTCCTGATTCTAGGCCCTCTTGCTGGCCTCCCTTGCATGTATCTGCCACGATGGTCCAGGGATCCCAAGCACACCTGCAGGGGCTGTAGGAAGCCGCCTTGGCATTCTCATGATACCCCTGGGGCTCATTCTCCTGATGCCCTTGAGCTTCTCTCTGTGGATCTGGTAGCAGAGCACTGCTGCTGGGCACTCGGTCACCTCTTGTGGCCACTATGTTTGCCTGGTTGCAAGTAATGGCCCCCCAGCCTCAGAACCCTTCCCCCAGTGCCCTGGAAAGGAAATCAAAAGCACTAGGGAACCTCTTTTCAAATGCATAAACAGGTGAATGCAGAGCTGCCCTAAGCTTGAGGATGGGGGGGGGCCAGAACCCCTGAATCTCTGTGACCTTGATCCAACCCCAACCCTCATGCACAGCAGCTCCAAAAGAATAATTGCAAACTCAGGCATTCAAGAAACAGTTTGAAAATACTGCCTTTGTACACTGAATTGCAGAGTGAGGTCTTTTCTTGAGCAGCAAGGAGGAGGTGGTATCAATGGTCTCTTTCTTTCCAATTCTGCTATGTGTGTGTGTTTCACTCCTATTATATCTACAGTGGATCTTGACCATTTACCTATTCCAGGCACAGTGATAAGTGTTGTATCTCATTTAGCCTTTACAGCAGTTTAAGGAAGACAGATCATGTGCCCAAAACCACACAACTAACTAGTGGGTGGTGTAGAGTTCATCAAAACCAGACTGTTTTGCCTCTACTCACCATCCAGTTACTGCTAAAAACAAAAACAAAAATGAAAAATCTGCATGGCCAGGCCAACTCAGGTACTTTGTAAAAATTTAACTTGGTACCTGGCACTGCATTCCTCATGAGGCAATTTCCAGAATAAAGGTATGAACTGGAGCCAGCCAGTATTCGTGGTTTCAGATGCAGAAAGGGCCTCTTGAGCCATCCCACTCTGTCTTATGTGGGTTTGGTAGTTAGACTAATTATTATAAATAATAATAATTTAAGTAGCACTAATGAACCTTATAATTCAGCACTAAAGCTTGGAGGCCAGATCATCTAAACCTTTGTGCTTTGCCTCCCAGACTTGAATGTTCTTGTGATATCTGCCATTCTGGAACATAGTGAATCCTTAGGCTCAATAAGTCATCATTTTCTATTGAGAGGTTAGGCAGGGATGAAAGGGAGAGCAATAGATTTTTCACTTGAGCTACAAATCCTTTAATCTTCCTTCTCAGGTCCAGTTTTCTCCAGGCCTGTTTTTTAAATCTAAAGTCTGACTTCTTCCCCGCATTATGTTACATCATTATTAATGCTTTAGATGATAGGACAGAGAGAACCCCATTATGTGTTCCTGTGTCTTCCATTTTGTTGGATGACTGTGGCTAAGAGAACCTGATGCAAAGTGATTGAGCTGTGGGACCTCAGATGGGTGTAAACTAGAGATAGTTAAGGGGTGATAGGAACAGGGTAACTGACCTACAGAAGTAGGAAATCTGAGCCACATGGGAAGGGGAGCCAGTGATATGTTGCATGACTATAACACCATCCGGGCTTAACGTCTGACAACCATGAAGTCACGGGAGCCTTAGTAAGAGTCAAGCTTTTATTTGAGTTTGCTATTGAATTTGGAATCCTGCAACTGAGCTTGACAAAATCTGGGGAAGAGCTACAAAAATTAGTAAAAGTTTGGGAGGCACGTTTTATAACACATAGGTACTCATGCGTACTAGATTTCTTTACCAAGATGAGCTATGGCTTAATTGTAGCATCCAAGTGTATGAGTGATGACATTTTATGTGTTTGTTCAAGGTAATATTTATTAGCTATTGCAGAGGCATGAAGATGGTATGTTCCTGCAGTGGTACATACTCTCTATTTCAAGCTAAGATGGGCTGGGGGAGAAAAAGTAAAAAGCCCACGTTGGAGTCAAAATGTGCTTACCCGTTGAGACTTTATTGAGTATTAGGGTTCTAGAAACCTAATTACATGGCAAGAGACTGTTCAAAGACTGAAGGAGAAGAATAGTGTATTTAGGGGGATGGTTTGAGTATAACAGAGGTTTTTGATGCAAAAGCACAGAAGACTTTCTAGCCTTAGGATTCTGGGATGGCTTCATTATCATCAGAAGAGACAAAATACTTGAGGCTGGCAGTTCTTTTTTTGTTCTTTTTTTTTTTTTTTAAGATTATTTATTCATGAGAGACACATAGAGAGAGGCAGAGACCTAGGCAGAGGGAGAAGCAGGCTCCCTGAGGTGAGCCTGATGCAGGACTCCATCCCAGGACTCTGGAATCACAACCTGAACTAGAGGCAGATGCTCAACCACTCACCCACCCTGGGTCTGGCAGTTCTGATTGCATTGTTCTCATCTGGCATGTGATCACTGAATTGTCCCAAAATGTTTCATACAGAAATACAGTTCCCACTGGAATTTTTCCTGAGATTGCAACAATTCTCTTGTTTAATTCCTGGAGAATGGACATCTGTACAATGTCAGGCTTCCAATCCATGACCATGGTATACCTCTCTATTTTTTTTAGGGTTTTAATGTTTCTCAGTAGGATATTAGAGTTTTCACTGTAGAGATCTTACACATCTTTCACTAGAAAAATCCCTAGGTATTTGGTGGTGGTTGTTGCTGTTGTAAGTGGCATCGTCATCCGAACCCCTTGAATGCACACCCGGTAATACCCATCCATGTCCATGGGCATGAGAAGCAAAGTAATAATCAGCTTCTCCTTTCCTATGGCATCAGTGGCCTTGTCAGAACCTATCAAGATAAAAATGTGTAATAGCTTCACTGCTGGAAACCCACTTCAGGATCCAAACACTGCAGCCCGGAAAGTGTTCTTTTAGTCCAACCTAAATTTCTCCAGTTGGCATTCTAGCTTATTTTCCTTTTGTGTTTGGTTCACAGTTTGCCTTCCACCAAGATTTCATATCTAGCAGTCTGCTGCTTGAATCATCATGCAGATATTTCCACCCTGACTGGTAAAATGTGTATAACTTTCATCAGGAGGATATTTGCTCATTATACAATATGAAGTTAAAAATATATATAATGAAAATCAAATTTTATTTTTAAAATATATGTGCTTAGATAAAAAGGTCAAGAGAAAATACATAGCAGTGGTTATCTCTAGGGGACTTAACGTGTGGACTATTTTTCTACATGTCTCCATTTTCAGAATTTTTATGACAAGCCTGCGTCATCTTTGAAGTAAGCCAAAAATGAGCATTCTTAAGTGGAAAAAAGAAAGTTAAAGCTATGTATTCAAATGACTGACTTGAATTTAACTTTCCCCTTCATTGTGTAAAGCCTATTTCAATGCCCTAGTGAAATCAAAACAGGTATGCCACATAACTTAAGATAATCAAGAAAGAGAAACTTCTTTTTTGGGCATGTAAATTTTCCTGCCAGTCCTCCAAGTAGCTATAAATTCCACTAGGTGCCAAGAATTCGCTCCTTGCGCCTGGGCCCCTGCAGCACCTGCTTTGTGTCTCCCTCCCCGGATCCCTGGGTAGGTCCCACCTCCAAGTGTGGGCTCCAGTGAAGCTGTCAGAGGCCCAGATATATGTCCCCCATCTGTTTCTCCAGTAACCCCACTGTTTATTGACAGGTTCTCAGGAATCTGATAGCTCTCAATCGGCCAAGAAAGATATGCTGGCTGCCTTGAAATCCAGGCAGGAAGCTCTGGAGGAAACGCTCCGCCAGCGACTGGAAGAACTGAAGAAACTCTGTCTTCGAGAAGCTGTAAGCAGTTCACATTTCACTTACGTGCGCGTGTATGTGTGTGTGTGTGTATGTGTGGTTCTCTGTCTCTTTTTTTTAAGATTTTATTTATTTATTCATGAGAGACACGGAGAGAGAGGCAGAGACCTAGGGAGAGGGAGAAGCAGACTCCCTGCACAGAGCCTGATGCAGGACTCCATCCCAGGACCCTGGGTTCATGCCCTGAGCCAAAGGCAGATGCTCAATCACTGAGCCACACAGGTGCCCTTTGCCCTCTGTCACCACATATTTATGAAAAGCAAAGGTGGGCTCACACAGAGAGCATTAAGCAAGAGACAGGACCTCTCATGAAGCGCAGAGGGGGAGACTCCAATCCCTCTGGCGTGCCCTGTCGTTAACAGCAGTGAACCATAATGAAACATAAGGACAGCAGTTAGAGTGGCTCCACCCAAATCCTCAAAGGGACCCCACTGGAGACCAAATGACAAGTAGTAATGGCAAAGTGTCTCTCCCTGTAGGATCACCTCCTTGGATATACTGGCTTGCCACCATCTTCCTAAAATCGGAGTCTGATTTTATTATCATGGTGGCTTTTGTTTCTCTTGAGGATATTTCCCGTTGGTCTTGGGGCATCCTATGGAGAAGCTTCAGTGAGGATCTTCAAGGAAACCAAGATTTCGCTTGATATTTAATCCCCTTCACAACTCACAACTCATAATCTGGTGTGTCTTCCCCCTTTTTAGTTTTTATTTTTTTTAAGATTTTTATTTATTTATTCATGACAGACACAGAGAGAGAGAGAGGCAGAGACACAGGCAGAGGGAGAAGCAGGCTCCATGCAGGGAGCCCGATGTGGGACCCTATCCCGGGTTTCCAGGATCACACCCTGGGCTGAAGGGGGCACTAAACCACTGAGCCACCGGGACTGCCCACTGCCCCCCCCCTTTTTTTAATGAAGTCACAGCCTAGTGGTCTTTTAAATTTTATGTAAAGCAAGTCTTCCTCAAGCCCCTGTATACGCTAGTCTCATGTTTCCTTGGGATTCAGATGCTGTGGCCCATCACTGTCTGCAGTTGCTGGAACGTCACTTCTTACTTTCTCCTGTTCATCCGGTGACTGTTAGCATGTTCGAACAGTTGATTTTTTTAACGCAACACACATGACCTGCGTGGGGGGTGTACACACACGGATGCGGTGGGCTGGGAGCCCTCTGTGCCCTGCATAGCATTACAGAGAGCTCTGTTGGTAAACAGTTCAGAATGGGAAGCAAAAGAGGTTCTGGGGCGGAGTTGAGTGGATTACCCTGTCCCCCACCCCTCCCTTCTCCCCCCCCATCATGCCCCCAGGGCTTGCCCCAGGAAGAATGAAACAAGGGGCTATAGAATGAGATCGCATTACATTTCAACTCGGCTTAATTAGGCTCTCGGTTGATTTAAACCGGAGCCTGTGCAAAGCAGACCCACATGGGCACGAATCCGCTGCAAAGCTTGGGAAAGCAGCTGGCCTGGCCAGGGGATGTGCTCTTTAGTACTCCTACCATTAGCAGCCTTTTCGTGAAGAATATGCTGAAAGCATTGAAAAAATATGGGCTTGGGTGTCTGCATTTAATAATTTGTAAAGCCTGGTTTTGTTGTTCACAAAGGAAACATCCCTAAACAGGGACTCAGCATCAGAAAATTGGAGAAACATGTCAGGGCAAGGTTAGCATGCATTATCAAGGTCTCCCCGTCTCTCGCAAAATAAAAGCAAAATAAGGAAAACAAAGCTCCCACTTCTTGGAGTGTCGGCACCAGAAAACCGAGCTTGAGTGGAAGAAGTAGCCTCTCTCAGGGAAGTGGGCCCAGGGGGGCTGCAGATTGCTTCTGTGCTTGCTCAGCCAGGCGCATCGCTAGCCTGTAGTGAAGGAGCGAGAGAACTTTCTCGGTGACTGTTCTGCTCTTTCTCTGGGGCACCCACGCGGTGCACGGTCTGCTCAGTATCAAGAAGTGCTGTTTGTGGGCGGGAATGGGGGGGAATGGGGCAGCCCGACTGCAGCAGAGGGAGCTGAGCCGCAGCAGGGTGCGAGCAAGGCGGGAGCAGAAGGCAGCAGGCACCTGAGAGCTCTGGTTACCTGTGAAATCAGATGAAATATGGGGAATCCAGGCTGGACTCAAATACCTTCAAGCCGATGATGAAAAATCTGTAGGCTCATTTTTTTTAAATGTAGTTTGTTTCCAAACCACAGACACTTTAGAGTTACAAGTCAGTGGTCGTGTGGACGGACGTGCGGCGCCCTCCTGTAGGTTTGGAGTAGACAGGAGAGGCCTGACAATATAAAATCCTCAGTGTGCGGTGTTACTGATAGACCAGCTTTTAGGGGCGTGGATAAAAGTCTTACAGAATAAGCACGTAACTACTTTGGAGACATTTGAACCAGGTTTTATTAAAAACCGGGAAGAAAATTGCAGAGCGTTTCATCCTCCAGAATTGGCCGTCAGGTTCTGAAATGCGTACACTAGGGAGGAAAACAAGCCCAAGAGTTCATTTCCTGGTGGCCTGAACACAGAAGGAAAGAGGCCCAGGAGAGGGAGGCGTGGGTGTGCTTGCGCGTGCCAGTTGCACTTGTGCACACGCGTTCTCACACACACACACCACACATGTGCATATATCCATACCCAATACGTGCATGCACACCAGTGCATACACATTACATACTCAATGCATGCATCCATCTTAGTGCACACACACTCCAGTGTGCACACAGAGCATGGGGAAAGGCCAGATCCTTCCTCATTTTTTGTTGTTTTTTTTTTTTAAAGATTGTATTTATTTATTCATGAGAGACAGAGAGAGAGAGACAGAGACAGGCAGAGGGAGAAGCAGGCTCCATGCAGGGGGCTCAATGTGGGACTCGATCCCGGGACTCCAGGATCACACCCTGGGCCAAAGGGAGGCGCTCAGCCCCTGAGCCACCCAGGCGTCCTCAGATCCTTCCTCCTATTAGAAGGGGAGTGAACATTAGGAGTCTATGTCTGGGCTTTCTCACCCACCGGACACTCGTACTGGGCTGCGTTCTGATCAGACTTCAGTCTCTGCCAGGATCGGAGTCACTGCAGTGATCCATCAACAAAATTCACTGTCATTATATTCACACAATTAGATTTTGGAGAGCTGAAAATACGCAACATCTTTTTTAATGGCCCTGTCAATAAAATGGATTATATTTTCAGTTTCTACTGAAACTGTGTGATTTGTATACATGTAATATTTTTTAAGCTCAGCCTGCCCCTAGTCTGAGCAGACGAATTATTTATATTCAGTTTCTAATTTATATAATTTGCACCTTTCTTGGCTTTGCTGTTTAGATACCATTCCTCCTAAGAACACTCACTTGAAGGGCATTTTAAAGATATTTGCGAAGGACTATCTGATGCAGTGAAAAGAGCACAGAAACTGTGAAGACCAGAGATGTCATGTTGGCTCTGCCCCTTCCTGGCTGTGTGGCCCCACCTGGCACATAGCAGGCACAGGGGATCACTGGGGATGTTAACCAATGGGTGAGACTTGGGTTTTATGATGAAAGCCAATAATTTTATTCACCCAAAAGAAATTCACTTTGGGAGAAACTTCGAAGCATATCTGTTCCATAAAGAAAGGACTGCTCTCATACTGTTTTAGAGAAATGTGGGGCGCCTGGGTGGCTCAGTCGGTTAAGTGTCTGCCTTTGGCTCAGGTTATGATTCCAGGGTCCTGGGAAATGTGCATTAGGCTCCTTGCTCTGCAGAGAGCCTGCTTCTCCCTCCGCCTCTGCCTCTCCCTCCATCTCTCATGAATAAATAAATAAAATCTTTAAAAAGAGAGAAGTGAAATTGCATTTCAGGAGCACTTAGGCGTGTTGCTAAAGGTGACGATTTCAAACCTGTGCATTGCATCTGTGCTTTGAAGCGCCTGCATGGGCACGCATGCGTCCCAGAAACCTGATCTCTGTCCTCATGCTGTTGCACACATGCAGGAGCTGACAGGCAAACTGCCCGTTGAATATCCCTTGGATCCAGGGGAGGAACCACCCATTGTTCGAAGAAGAATTGGGACAGCCTTCAAGCTGGATGAACAGAAAATCCTGCCCAAAGGAGAGGTGTGTCCTTCTGTGTGCTGTTGTTGGATTCTCTCACATTAGCCATATTTCTCCCATATGTTGGGGCTTCCAGGGTTTTCTGTAACAGTTGTCTTCATTCTACTCGATGCCAAACACCATTTCCCTTTCCTCCCCAGGATCCTCCCTTCTACCTTTTAAGTTGGCTGGTCAGCCAGCATGGGGCTCCTCTTGGTAGGATTCATTAGCTCGAGTTCGTAAGCATCTGGATTTCCATGGAAGTTGCTTGTCTAACACGATTGGCCTGTCACAAGGGGCTGCGTTAAGCTTGGGAGAACATCTCAACAACACTCCTGTGTACCTATATTTTTAATGGCTTCCCAGCTCTCTGTTACTTAGACCCCAGCATGACGTGGAAGAAAACAGCCAAAGGAGAAAGAAAACTCAGGCCATGCCAGCAGGTGCAGGGATGCCACAGGCTGGGGGAAAGACAGTAGGGCCTGCCCTCAGTGGCCTTCCCTTCACCTTGCTGCTAAAATTGCTGCCAGAGGAAGAGCAAGCTGCTGGGCCTTCCTGAGGTCATCTGTCTGCATTTGGAGGAGCCCCTGAAGCCTTGCTCATTTATCCTCTTTGACACTAAATGTTGGTGGGGGCTGGGGGTGGAGACAGGCTCCCCACCCCCAGCCCCCTCACTGCCTCTGTTTCTCCTGGGAACACACTTGGCTTCCCTGTCCACACAGCAGGCGGCCATCTGGACAGCCAGGCCCTCCGGCGGCCTGGTGCCTGTCTGGCTAGGGAGCGAGCCATGGTCCTGGGCTCCCACGCCAGGTCAGGTCGCGGGCCAGGGCTCTCTAAGCGCCGGGAACAGCTGCTCGTGGCAGTTAGGCCTCACAGACCAGTCTTTGTCCTTGGTGGCTTGTTTGTTTCCCAACCCCGGGCGGGAATCCATCTCGGTGTCCTCCTCCCTCTGGAGAACGAGTGCAGCCAGCGATCGAAGGACCTGGAAGGAGTTTATCATCTCCTAAGCAGTTCTGTGTAATCTCCACGCCGCCCCTCCTCCTGGGCCCCTGTTCCCCTCAGGCCTGAGATGCTCAAACAGAAATGAATCCGGCCAAGAGTACTGTGCTTGGTGGAGGCTCCCGACCTGGGACGTGCTGCCCCAGGCAAGCCTTTTCTTCGGGCCATGAGCTGGGAAGATCTGTCCCTTCCCACCGACGTGGTGATGGGCTCCCACGTGGTTAGGTCCATTCCTGTCAGGTTTTGCATGGCTCTGGGTCACCTAGGGTGAGGGTAGGTGTGGCCTCCCCTGCGGGCCTTGCTAGCCTCCGGGCTGGTGCTGGAAAGGAACCTCTGATGGAGCTGCAGAGAGGGGCAGCCTGTGGCCCACCCCAGTTTCTCTGCCCGTCCCAGCAGCCACAGCCTCATTTCTCCTGGGACCGAAACTGTGCGAGGGCATGTTACCCATCTGCTCCTTTGGGCTGAAGTAAGGGTCAGGGCTGCAGGGAGGTGCCGAGGGGAGGACAGAGATGCCGTAAAGCAGATCCAGGAATGGGGGCCAGGCTCCTCCAAACCCCGCATCCATGCCTCACAGCCCAGTGCTGCTGCGAAAGGCAGGCATGAGGATGGCGGGAGCTTGCAGAGAAGCTTCCAGAAGAGATCCTGGTGAGTGGGATACGTCCCACCACAAAGGGCTCAAAATACAAGAGACAGAGGGCACGTGTGGGAGGGTGGGGTGTCACGCACGTGTGAGCTGCCTGCTGCCAAACCCACAGAAGCCCGCTCTGGAAGTGACGGTGCATCTTCTGCCCAAGATGGCAAGGAGACACCAACCAGAGGGGCTCTTGATTTCCACGGGGGTTTGGTCTTCATGAACCTTGCTGTGGAGACCAAGGAGATGAAGCCAAGTGACCCTGCCTCTGGCCCACAGCAGGGAGCTCTGTTTCTCCACGATGCTGCTCATACAGTGACCAACACTCGTCTCCTGAACGTAACAGGGGCCAAGGACCTTGAAAGTGGGAGCACCCAGGGCCTGGCCGCCAGAGATTTGAGGGAAAGGGCCATTGCAGGGTCAGGCAGGGTCGGGGCTAGGTACTGGGAGTGCTGGGTTCCTAGTATGTGTGTCTCCCAAAGAGCAGGGCATGCTCGCCTGGGGACAGGGACAGAGATGGGGAGGACGGTGCATCCCTTAGCATCCCCCTAAATGTAAGTCCCATCTCCCCCTCCCACAGGAAGCCGAGTTGGAACGCCTGGAACGAGAGTTTGCCATTCAATCCCAGATTACAGAGGCTGCCCGCCGCCTGGCCAGTGACCCCAACGTCAGCAAAAAACTGAAGAAACAAAGGAAAACCTCTTATCTGAATGCACTGAAGAAGCTGCAGGAGATTGAAAATGCCATCAACGAGAACCGCATCAAGTCTGGGAAGAAACCCACGCAGAGGGCTTCCCTGATCATTGCTGGTCAGTGCTAAGCCCGCCCCCCCACAGGGACAGCACCCGCCCCCCCACACATACAGGAGGAGCCTTGGGGGCCAGCACCGGCCCCGGGAGCAAGTCCAAAGCTGGTGCCCTGCGGACCTGAGCAAGCTGCTTAGCCACCCTGGGCCTGCTTTTTATTTATTTTTTAGTTCGTAAAGTGAAGCTAATAAGGCCTGATACCAAATGAGAGCAGTAAGGGGTGCACAGGTCCACAAAGGGGGGTTTTACAGGTTTAACTGTCCTGATCCCTACTTACTGCCCCCTGGGAGAGCCTGCAGCCCTGAGCTCTAGGCTGCTTCTCCACCCTCAGCAGCACTTGGCTGAGCTAAGATGCCAGCTCAGTCGAGCTGGAGTTGCCAGGCTCTGACCTTCCCCGGGGACCTGATCACCCAGCATCCGGATGGCTGGGGTCCACTGCAAGCCGGCACTCCCGCTGAGCCTCTGTCCTCAGACACACCAGTTCCCAGGGCGCCTGTCCCAAAGCTGAAGCCAGGGAGGACTGGGTCGCCCCACTCTGTCTAGACCCCTGAGCCAGGTCAGCAGGGGTTAGGAATTTGGGCGATTGTATTTGGTAAACACCTCTAAAAGGAAATAGCCCCGAATCCTCCAACAGCATCAAGTTCCCCAAACGGTTACAATCCTTTTTTCCTGTTTAGCAAACTCCTTAGAATGTATGTCAAGTATTCTTTCGTAGTTTATATGTTTAAAACGCTTTTGCTCTAAGAAGGTCAAAAGTGGAATAGAAGTTACCAGGGGTTAGGAGAGGCGGAGTGGGAAGTTAGTATTTGAGGGGTACAGGTTCTGATTGGAAAAATGGAAAAGTTGCAGAGACAGATGGTGGTGATGGCTGCGCAACAATGCAAATAATCCTTAATGCCACTGAACGGCTGTCAGTACGCCCAGTACAGCTGACAGTGGCTAAAACGGTAAATTTATGTTGTGTATACATTACCACGATAATCTATATAATTATATAATGCATAAATACATATGTAAAATATATAATACATATAATAAATACAAAATACATATAATACATGAAATATAATTGTGCCACCTTAAAACGTGGGCACGCTATACTAGAAGCCACGCTGTACTGGAAACTCCAAGATGCCAAAGTTAAGGCTCTCCATCCCCTACATGCTCACAGTCCACCAAACCAGAGAGACCATTAAAAAATCCTTTCCCTCTAGAAAATTTGGAATAACTGTCTTTCCCCATCCTGCCCTTTTGTCCTTGGCCAAGACTTTGTCGCTCTGTCGCCTACTTCCTAACAGAACTGCAGCCAGCCAACTCCTATCTGCATGCTGCCCCTTTGGGACCTCCCTGTGGCCCCCCGAAGGCTGTTGGGGCATCCTGGCTCTGCGGGAGCATTCCAGCAGGGTCACCAGAGCCAAGTTTGGGAGAGGCCCCTCAGGGCCACACCTGTCCCCGGTCCCTAGCCCCTGGTCAGCCACAGAAGAGCCCGCCTCCCCAGCCCGCCCAGTGAGAGCTGTCCTGTGAGCCCTGCCACCAGAGTCTGTGGTCCCATCCAGATTTGCAGCCTTTTTTTTTAACTACTCAAGAATATACCTTCTTTATTCTGCTCCCTCCTTGAAAGATTTTTTTATTTTTTATTATTTATTTTTTTTGAAAGAATTTTTTTTAAGATTTTATTTACTTATTCATGAGAGACACAGAGAGAGGCAGGCTACCTGCAGGGAGCCCAACATAGAACTCGATCCCAGGACCCCAGGATGACGACCTGAGCCAAAGGCAGATACTCAACCACTGAGCCACCCAGGCGTCCCTAAAATGTCTCTGCCACACTTGAATTAGAGGAATAACCCCAGTTCTTCTTAGTTCCTTAGTTCCTTGGCGTCTTATCTCTTGAGATAAAACTTGGAACTTTACACCTGGCACCTTTTGCTCATTTTACCGGGAGAGTAGAGCAACTGCAGACAAACCATGCCACCCTAGCTGGGCCTCAGTTTCCCCAGATGTTAAAGGGGAAGGATCATTTTGACCCCTGACTCCCTCTTGGGTGTGTCCCCATGGTTCACCAGTATCTATAAAAACCAGCTTTGCAGAGAGAGGCTGTACTTAGCAGGTTGTTTTCACTACTAATGACTGAAGTTTATGGAGGGGACGTTTATTGCCATAAGAGCAAAGCCAAGTTCCTCACCTAGTTTCGCATGTAGAGAAAGAGCAGTTCAGTTCCTTTGGTTCAGTGGGAACGTGCCGAGATTGGGCCAGGACGCTGATGGGCTGAAGTGGGCCAGGCGGCCTTTATCCTGGCTTTCTAGCCCCTCAGCGCTGCAGGGCCCCGTGAGACAAGGGTGCCGACACAGACGCTGGGCCACAGTGCAGCATCAGGCCTCGGGGATGACCAGCGCCCCACCCCAGGGACCCCAGAGAAATGCCAGGCGGCTTGTTGACTGTATTTCATGCGTTCTTTCCGCTCAGAAAGAGGAGGATGTGGGATGGTCCCAAACGCATGATCGTCACAGGCTGGACGGTGTCTGGGGGATGTGCTAATAAACTCATAGGCTTTTGCGTTTTGCCTCCTCAGATGGAAACATTGCCAGTGAAGACAGTTCCCTCTCAGATGCACTCGTGCTAGAGGATGGTAGGTTGTCCGTTTCCTGACTCAGAACTCGGGCCCAGGCCGAACAGGGATGAAGGTGTGCGCAGTCGGGCCGGCCTGGTGGAAAGGCAAGAGCAGGCCGAGGCGGGGGCCGGGTGCCCCGCCAGCCCCTTGCCCCAGGCGTCAGCTTCTGTCTGTCGGAACCTGAGTGTTTCCAGCGGCCCACGGGGAGGGGCTGAGGTGACCGTCCGTGAGCACTGGTGTGTGGTGTGGTTGCCACAACCACGTCTGTGACTAAACACCATGCGCCGTTTCCTTTTGAGTCTCCGTTGTTTCTGGAGGAAAGTCGTGGACTCTGGTTGGATCACAAGTCAGAGATTGAAGCCTCCTAGGAAAGCCTGGGGGTGGCGGGAGGAACACCGGGCCTCCCCGTCTTCCTGAGAAATAGCAAAGACCAAAGGGAATCTAGTCCTTCTAGATTGCTGGTCAGGCCTTGAAATTGTCTATTTTCCATTGACCTCTGAAAACCCAGCAGTTATTGGTATATTTTCTTGGGAAATTCTGAGAAAAGCAGAACCGATCTCCCACACCTCTGCACCCTCCCCCAGGCCACCACCACCTCACACGGGGGTAGAAAGGATTCCAGGCACAGGACCATCTCTGAGAACATTCCTGTGGGTTTAAGCCAAAACTTGGGAGGCCAGGACATTAATCACATGGAAATATATTAAGTGGCAGTTAATTTTTTTGCCCTTTGGGGAACCCTCGTGTGGGCAGTGGTAAGTGGCTGTTTAGACAGAAAACATAAACCAGTCTACCCAACCCAGAGTCTGGATGATCGCGGCAAAGCTAATAATAGGGGCTATTGATGTGGGGAGAGGCTGGCAGGGTATTTACCCGGTGGCCTTGGCCTTGCTCTTAGCAATCAGGTGGTAACATTTCCATTGTCAGCTTGGTTACATGGGTGGGGAGGGGAGGGAGCATGGCTGCAGAAGAATAGGGAGAGGTGTTTTTTTTTTTTTTTTAAGATCTTATTTATTCACGAGAGACACAGAGAGAGGCAGAGACACAGGCAGAGGGAGAAGCAGGCTCCCCGTGGGGAGCCCAATGCGGGACTCGATCCCAGGACCCCAGGATCGCGACCTGAGCTGAAAGCAGATGCTCAACCACTGAGCCACCCAGCCATCCCCAGGAATTTTGACTATGGGAGATCCAGCCCCAGTTTGGGGCTCTGGGGATGGCAGTTTCTCCAAAGGCAGGACCTAGAATGATTTAGTGAGAAGAGAAGACCAAGAGGAGAGTTGGGGGAGGTGCATATTGTTGGCAGCTGAGAGGACGCCTCCTTGGCCTTGAGTCCCCAGACCCCCACGCCCCCTGCAGGCTTGCCCCTTGTTGGGGGGGGGGCTCTTTCCTTCACTGATTACCGTGGGGGTGGGGGCAGGTGGAATGGAGAATTAGGCCGTGAGAAGAATCCTGGTGGGAAATGGATTGGGGGCCAAGTGGAAGGTGGTTGGAGGTTTTGAGGTTTGCTTCTGTGAGGTATTTCCCTTCACGCTCCCCCGTCCGCCTTCACAAGGAACCCTGAATTCTTTCTCCCTCCCTCCCCCTGCCCTCTCCTGCTCCCTCACTCCCCGCCTGCCCCACCACCGGGTTCTCCACACTGTGGACCTCCCCTAGCCCCTGCCAGGTGGCTGGCCCTCAGAAAGGATTTTCATCCTGACACGTCTGGGCCTCCGAAGTTTCAAAGTCTTCTTAGGCCCTTCAGACCAAAGCCCCATTCCTCAGCATGAAGGCCCCCCATCAGCTGGGCTGCCCAGCTCATCTTGGGGGGGCGCAGCAGGTCAGCCCCAGCAACCCGACTCTGTTCCTCCTCCTCCCCAGCCACTGCCCCAGCTGCCCTGGGCTCTCCCCTTCATCCCCTCTGCGCCCCCCACCGCTGAACTCCCCTCGGCACCCGGCGGGCTGACTGTGGGTCCCACAAGCCAGGGAATAAGCTCCTTTCACTCAGTATGTGTAGCCTGGCTCCTTCCTGCAGAACCTAGGGCTGGTCCAGGGGGAATCTCGGGAGCACGATCCAATACAGGCGCGAGGAAAGAGAGGTCCATACCCGGGGCCCCCCACAGATACTTACGCTCAGCACGTCCACTTGGCTTCCCCTGTTCTAACGAGTGTTTGTTGAGCACCTGCTGGGGGCCAGCGGCCTCCTAGGCGCCGGGTTATGGAAATGAAGGAAACAGTCCTCCGGAGCTGCAGGTCCCCAGAGCACCTTAGGCGCTCGCTGTCTCCGGAGAGACACTGTGACAGTGTTACAGGGACCACGTTCTGCTGTTGGCTCCAGCTGTAGCTCCTCAGAAGGGAACCTTCTCTCCCCAGCGAGGGCCGCTTGAGGCGGGGGTTTGGTTGGTTCTGGTTCCACCTGTCGTGGCAAGCGGGAAGCCGTCGCTCTGGCCCAGGCCGGGGTGGGGAGGGGCACCTGCCCGACTGCAGGGGTGAGGGGTGGGGGGACGGGGCGGGGCTGTCTGCGTCGGTGGGGGGGACCCTTGCTCAGTTCGTCTCTCTCCATCTCTGTGCAGAAGACTCTCAGGTCACCAGCACACTGTCCCCCTTACAGTCTCCTCACAAGGGACTCCCTCCTCGGCCACCGTCACACAACAGGCCCCCCCCTCCGCAGTCCCTGGAGGGGCTCCGGCAGATGCACTATCCCCGCAACGACTATGACAAGTCCCCCATAAAGCCCAAAATGTGGAGCGAGTCCTCCTTGGATGAGCCTTACGAGAAGGTCAAGAAACGTTCCTCCCACGGCCATTCCAGGTGAGCCAGGTCGGCGAGGGCCCCCGAGGTCACAGGACAAGCAAGCCGGGGTGGCCCACGGGAGGGCGCCCGCACCCCGCTCACAGCCACCCCGAGGGCGCGGCCCCCCAGCCGCAGGTGGGGCGTGGGGGCCCGGGAGCTGCTGTGCGATGATGCGGGAGTTGGGGAGGAAGCCTGGGCAGCGCCACCCTGAGTGGCAAGGGACAGACCCCGCATAGGAGCCCCAGCGTGGCTCGGGACCCCGCCCCCCCCACCCGCCCCTCAGCAGGTTTGGGGCTGGCTGCTGCTGCCTGAGAGGGTGGTGGGTTTCCGGCCTGTTTCTCTGTTTTTCTCCTTCCCTTTCGCTACGCTCTGTCAAGCATAGCTGGCAGGGCACGTAAATATTTGTTGGTGCAAAACGGAAACCAACCGTGGTCGAGGGCAGGGGCTTCACGGGACGGTCCCACTGCCTGCTGGGGGCAGGCTGATGAGGCTGTGGTCTCCCGCCACCCTGGGGTCAGGCATGCCCCCACCCAGGCTCCGGGGGTGATGCTGAGTAGCCCCGTAGGAACCCGAGGGAGAGGCGGGCTGTCCCCTGGGAAGAGGGACGGTTTTGTCCGGCGGTGACTAGCCCGGTGTCCTCTGGTTTGCAGCAGCCACAAACGCTTTCCCAGCACGGGGAGCTGCGCCGAAGCCGGAGGGGGCAGCAGCTCCCTGCAGAACAGCCCCATCCGCAGCCTCCCGCACTGGAACTCCCAGTCCAGCATGCCGTCCACACCAGACCTGCGGGTCCGGAGTCCCCACTACGTTCATTCCACGAGGTGAGTCCTCCCACACCAGGCCGTTGGGCCACCTCCCTCCCTGGACCGGACGTCCAGGCCCCCGACTGGGCCAAAGGACTGGGGAGCTAGTGGGGTGGGTTCCCGTTAAATCGAAGCAGGATGGAAACCCCAGCCGGCAGCGGAAGCCCACGTTAGGTGAGACCTGTTCTTATCCGGGTGTTCATGTCCGGTGAGCGCCAAGAAACGCCTGGAGAACCCCCAGGCTTCTGGAGGCAGCAGGCATGGAGTGAACTCCCCACCCCTTTTTTTTTAGAATTTTATTTATTTATTTATTTAATAATTTCTATGTGGTTTTTTTTTTTTAAGATTTTATTTATTTATTCATGAGAGACACAGAAAGAAAGAGAGGCAGAGACACAGGCAGAGGGAGAAGCAGGCTCCATGCAGGGAGCCCGATGTGGGACTCGATCCCGGGTCTCCAGGATCACACCTCAGGCTGCAGGCGGCGCTAAGCCGCTGCGCCACTGGGGCCACCCTTTTTTTTTAAATTTTAAAGATTTGTTGGAAGTTTGTGTATTTAAGCAATCACTACACCAAATGTGGGGCTTGAACTCACAACCCTGCGGATAAGAGCCGCGTGCTGTGCTGACAGAGCCAGCCAGGCGCCCCCCCACAGAGGGAGCTTTCCTAACCAAGGAGAAGGCAGGCCGGGCCAGCCAGGTAGCGGGGAGGCCTCTGGAACCAGGAGATCTTCACTTTGTCGTCCTCATGTATCTTCCCACCGGTGCCTCAGTTTATCCTGGATTTTTTAATGCCTCAAGGTGTGAAACCATTGAAGGGCAAAAGGAACAGGCAAAAGTGAGGCTGTGAATCACACCTTCATTTTCTGAAAAGAGGCCACACCAAAGCTGTCATTCTGTTTTATCAAAAACTGTGATTGCACAGGACTGGCTCAAAGCATGGATTTATATAGGATAAGATTGGGCTCTGCAGGCAAGGCTGTCCCCTTCACCCTTTCATGTGACACATACTTATCAAGTGCTCTGAGGTGCCAGGTACCACCGACCAGGCTAGAGCAATGGACGAAGCCGACCACGCTCCAGCTGTCAGCGGAGTGTTTTGGTGGAGGGAGTCATGAGAAAACAATATATGTCAAGCGGTAATAAGTACAGAGGAAAAAAAAAAAAAACGAACAGGGCAGGGGCCACACTGTGGAAAGACAGACTCTGTTAGGTGGAAGCATCAGGGACATTTGAGCAGAGACCAGAATGGATGGGGTGGCAAGTTCGGAGGCTGTTATCAGGCAACAGGAGGATCAGAGAGCGTCAGAGGCAGGCCTGCACTTGGCCTATTCCCCGGAGGCCAGGAGGAGGTAGGACCAGGGAGGAAACTGAGGCCCGAGTCCTGGGGTGCCCCTGTCTGTGGACTCTGTTCTACCATGAGTGACAGCAGGAATTCCCCTCCTCCGGTCCTTGGCCAGGGCGGCTGCCCTGACTTTCACGGGTGTCTAAGCACTGTCCCCAGCCCCCATGACCTGGGTGGATGTTTGGAGTGGGGACTGGTGGGGGGGATTATAGAGGAAGCAGGGGGCTGCTAAGTAGTTGCATCAGTCATTGTGAAGTACTCGTGTTCTAGCCGCCTTCCTTTTTAGAGTTTCAGGGGAATGGAAATCTATTTTATGTGGGTTTCATAATAGTATTTGGTGAATGCTGTGAAGTGCCCTCTGCGGGACTGTTTTTTATGACCTACAAAAAAAAGGGGGGGGGGAGCATTTCATCTGCTTTGAGACAATACCAGAATAGGGATTCTCGTGGTTCTCCAGAATCCCTTTCCAGCATTAAAAAACAGGCCAGGCTACTGGTGTCTGTTTTTTCTTTCTTTCTTTTTTTTTTTTTTTTTTTTTTTTTTTATTTATGATAGAGAGAGAGAGAGAGAGAGAGGCAGAGACACAGGCAGAGGGAGAAGCAGGCTCCATACACCGGGAGCCCGACGTGGGATTCGATCCCGGGTCTCCAGGATCGCGCCCTGGGGCAAAGGCAGGCGCCAAACCGCTGCGCCACCCAGGGATCCCTTTTTTTTTTTTTTTTTAAAGATTTTTATCAATTCATGAGAGACCCAGAGAGGCAGAGACACAGGCAGAGGGAGAAGCGGCCTCCCCGCGGGGATCCCAGGACCCCGGGATCACAGCCTGGGCCCAGGGCGGATGCGCCATCGCCGAGCCCCCCGGGGCCCTACTGGCGCGCGTTTTCGGGGACACCCTTCCGTGGGTGCGGTGTTCTGTCGGGCCCCTGGCGGTCGGGCCAGGCGGTCCCCGCCCCCGCCCCCGCCCCCCGCCTGTGTTCTGGTGGCGACAGCAGGCCGCGCGCGGGCTCCCCGGGCCCCCCCCCACCCACGCCCGCGCCGTCTCCCCGCAGGTCCGTGGACCTCAGCCCCACGCGGCTGCACAGCCTCGCCCTGCACTTTAGGCACCGGAGCTCCAGCTTGGAGTCCCAGGGCAAGCTCCTGGGCTCGGAGAACGACACGGGGAGCCCCGACTTCTACACCCCACGGACTCGTAGCAGCAACGGCTCGGACCCCATGGACGACTGCTCGTCCTGCACCAGCCACTCGAGCTCCGAGCACTACTACCCGGCGCAGATGAACGCCAACTACTCCACGCTGGCCGAGGACTCGCCGTCCAAGGCGCGCGCGCGGCAGCGGCAGCGGCAGCGGGCGGCGGGCGCGCTGGGGGCGGCGAACTCGGGCAGCATGCCCAACCTGGCGGCGCGCGCGCCGGGCGGCGTGTACCTGCACAGCCAGAGCCAGCCCAGCTCGCAGTACCGCATCAAGGAGTACCCGCTGTACGTGGAGGGCGGCGCCACGCCCGTGGTGGTGCGCAGCCTGGAGAGCGACCAGGAGGGCCACTACAGCGTCAAGGCGCAGTTCAAGACGTCCAGCTCCTACACGGCGGGCGGCCTGTTCAGGGAGAGCTGGCGCGGCGGCGACGAGGGCGACCCGGGCCGCCTGACGCCGTCGCGCTCGCAGATCCTGCGGACTCCGTCGCTGGGCCGCGAGGCCGCGCACGACAAGGGCCGCGCCGCCGTGTCGGACGAGCTGCGCCAGTGGTACCAGCGCTCGGCCGCCGCGCACCGCGAGCACAGCCGCCTGTCGCACACCAGCTCCACGTCCTCGGACAGCGGCTCCCAGTACAGCACCTCCTCCCAGAGCACCTTCGTGGCGCACAGCAGGGTCACCCGCATGCCCCAGATGTGCAAGGCCACGTCAGGTGAGCCCCAGGAGCCCCCGGGCGGGGCAGCGCGGGCCCCGGCGCCCCCTCTCGGCCCGCGAGGTCAGGTCGGGGCGGCGGCGGGGCCCTCGGGGGTGCGCGGCTGAGCGCGGCTGCGGGGTCCCAGCTGCCCCAAGGTCCCATTGCAGTGACGTTGGGCGGGGACGGGAGCCATCTGTGCAGGGTGCTGGGGGTGCTGGGGGTGCTTTCAGGTCCCCGACACCGCCTCTTCACACTTTGCCGACCCAGTTAAGGGGGTCACCTCCTCACGCGTGCTAAGAGTAGTGAGCGGGCGCCGGGATGCGAGAGTGAACATGCACACCACCGCCCTTTGCTCCGGAGCCACTTCCCCTTTCCAGTGCCTCTCTGGGAAACAGCAGTGGTGACAGAGGTGACCCGCAGGGCTCTCAGCAGGCGCACGGAGGGGGAACCAGAGGCCAGCAGCTCAGACGTGACCGTAGGAAAGGAAGGGGAGGATGTGCAGACGTAGTAAAATTACTTTTATTGTTTTTTTTTGGTTTTTTTTTTTTTTTTTTTACTTTTAAAGATTTTGTTTATGTGGGAGAAAGAGAGCATACGTGGGAGGAGGGGCCAGAGGGAGAGGGAGAGGGAGAAGCAGGGAGCCGGATGCAGGGCTCCGTCCCAGGACCCTGAGACCACGACCTGCACCAAAGGCAGATACTTAACTGACCGAGCCACTCAGGCACCCCAGTAAGATGATCTTTTTTGAGACACACACACAGAGAGGCAGAGACCCAGGCAGAGGGAGAAGCAGGCTCCATGCAGGGAGCCCAACATGGGACTCGATCCCGGGACTCCAGGTTCACACCCAGGGCCGAAGGCAGGCGCTAAACCGCTGAGCCACCCAGGGATCCCCCAGTAAAATACAAGAGTAACATGAGTAGCAAACAGAAGGAACTCTGAGTCAGGGCCTTACCTGAGACGGGAGAAAGTTAGGTGAAGGTCAAGACTGGGGGGAGGGCAGAAAAGGGGGTTCACCTCTGAGGAACTGGACGGACCTGAAATGAATGGGACAAAGAGGCAGGACGGGCTGGCTGCCCGTGCCCGGGTGCACCAGACCTCTGGGCCCCTGCCTTTCGTCCCCGTCGACTCCCTTACTGTGGCCCACTGGCCAAATGACAGGTTCCAGGGATGAGAATAAAAGTGATTTGGGCAACCACGACGAGACAACCGTGGACTTGAGGTCCTAGAGCCTTCTCCGTGTCCCTCCTCGGTCTCATAAGCCCAGAGAATTGTGCCCTGGACTTCCCAGGGGGACCTTGAAAGGAACGGATGAACGCATCACCCGAACCAAAGAGCAGGAGCCTCCCTCACGGCGTCAGGAGCCGCAGCTGGCCGGCGGGCGCGGGGGTGCTTCTGTTCTGTCGCGGTTGCAGCCCTGCCTACAGATTGGCCTCACCGACAGGCTCAGCAACTCTCTGGGAACACGTGAGAGGACAGATTTTAAGAAGCTGTTTCTCAGGTTTACTGATCCTTCCCGGGAAAGCAGAGGACGCATTCAAGCAGCTTTACTTGCTACTGAATTTTCCCAGCTAGAAAAATCCTACCCACATCGTTAAACCCCTAGTAGTCGGCTTTGGATGAGCTGTTCCATAAAAGCCCTGCACCTTTGGAAGTGTCCCCAGGTGGTCGATCATAAGCCTAAAATGACAAAGAGACCAAGTACTGAGCACCTTTCTGGAAGTTCTCTGTTCATAGCACGATTTTTGACACCAGGGCTACATCTGAAGATGCCTGGAGGCCTCTCTCCCTGGTGTCCAGAAAAAGGGGCTCTCTGGCTCAGCCCCGCCCAGGTCTCCCGCAGAGCTCGGGGGCCTTCAGAGTCTCTGCCGCAGTGGCAGCTGTCGCCACCCCTCTGGCCACCTGCTAGTGCAAAGCAGGGACCGAGGATCCCCAGGTCAGCTTGACTCAGAGTGGAGCTGCATGCTTTGGGGAGAGAAAATGGAAATGGCCAAACGCGGTGGGGAGGGACGGGTATCTCCCCGCTGTGGCCCTGCTGCGGCGTCCTACCGGCATTTCTGGAAGGAAGCTCAGCTCCTTCACCTGCCCTGTGTCTGACCCCTGTCTTTTCTGCGTCACCCTCTCTGCAGCTGCCTTACCTCAAAGCCAGAGAAGCTCAACACCGTCAAGTGAAATTGGAGCGACGCCCCCGAGCAGTCCCCACCACATCCTAACCTGGCAGACTGGGTGAGTCCCCTTTTCAGGCCTTCCATCCTCCTCTTACCGGCTCTAGAATGATCCTTAGCATTACTTGTTAGGAAGGATGTAATAAGGATAAGATCCTAGTGACAGGAGGGTTTATCAGCAGAAGCATCATGAGTGTGTGTTCTCGGGAAGCTGCCTCCTTCCCGAAGAAGCTGTGTGCACACGGTTCCCACCCACGTGGTTGCTTTCCATCGCTGTCCCTTTAGACGGGCCGTTCTCTTGGCTCTCGCTCAGCGCTGGCGGCGGTCCCAGGAACGTGGGGGCAGCTGGGTGCCCGAAGTCAGACTGCACTTCCGTGGTCACAGTTCTAGGCAGCATTTGAGTGGATTCAGATTCCATCAGGCCGCCTCAAAGGGCCAGGCGAGAAGGGAGAGGGGAGAGAGGATCCGGGCATCAAGCGCCTCGGCGTGTCCCGTCCTGCAGTCGGGATGTTTCTGAGGGAAGAGGACAGGAGGCTCAGAGCCCGTCTCTGTCCTGGCCACCTGCTTGTTCTCACCAAACAAAGGGGATTGGGTGCAGGTCCTCTGAGAACCATAGGAAGTGGTCCACAGCAGAAGGACGAAACCAAAATTCGGGTCCTTTTATAGCTTTCGCGGCAGGCCTAGAGCATTCTGATCTCGTGGACAGTTAGGATGTTCTGGCTCCCGGAGTCCAGCAGAGACAGCTGCTGTCCTCACGATCCCTGCCTCTGCTCCTCGGACGTCACCTCCAAATGGATGTTACGTTCCGTCAGTGGCCATTGGGTGAAGGAGCGAGGGGTCCCTTATTCCAGCTTTACTCACTTCCCAGTTTGCTGGAGCACCAGTGGGGATGTCTGGGAAATGGGACAGCTGTGTGTGAGTGGGATCATCGCCAAACAACAGGACCCGGATTGGCTCCACTGACCACATTTCAGGCTCCCGTGCTTGACAGAGCTTTTGGTTTTTGTTCATTTGTGGTGATTTTAAGCCAGGCTTTAACGGGGCCTTAGCGTTTGACGGAAGTGAAGGGGTGCTAATGGTTATTGACTGCTTGCTGTGTACCCAGAGGCTGGGAGCTTTTTCTAACGTGGATGAGTTCACGTACTCCTCACTGCAACCTCGCAGGGACAATACACAGACCCTTTGGTTTTGTAGAGGAGGCTCAGAAAATCCAGCTGGAAGAAGCTGCGTTCTCTGATCGTCCAGTCTTGTCTTTTTCCACCAGGCAAGTGATCCTTTGAGTGCTGTCCCCAGACCAGCAGCAGGAGCATCTGTGCCCTGCTCCCAGCAGGACCATCTTGTTAGAAATGCAGCCTCTGGGGCCCAGCCATGACCTACTGCGCGAGAAACGCGGGGGTGGGGCTGGGCAGGTGGGTTTGAACAAGGTCTCCGGGGATTCTGCAGCCTGCCCCAGTCTGACTGGCCGGAGCAATACCCCCAGCTGCCTCCTACTCCCTTTGAATCAGGAGAACCCACAGTCCCAAGTGCAGGGATCTCCTGTCCACTCCCACTCCTTGCTCTGTCTTTTGGGCAGCAGCTACCCACCCCACGCGTCCTTATTCTAGACCATCCTAACCCTTCCTTACGTAGCAGCCACACACCAGCTCCATATTGTGTGGTCCGGCAGCTACTTCAGGCCTTGGGCCCCAGAGTTTCACTGAGAAGAACTCAGAAAAGGCCTGGTCGGCTGTATAGATGGCACCCCCCAGGGGACAAACCATTCCACCCAAAGAAGGACCTTCAGGTGGCAGGCTGTCTGGATCGTCCCCATTTTCTGGACCGTGCCCGGTCTCCCCTGATCCAACCACCTGACAGCAGGCCTGAAACTGGTGAACACGCCTCAAATGCCCACACCCTTGAGCTGACCTCGAAGCCTGCGTTTGACCACAGAGCTAGTCAGGGCTCAGGACAGTTTATGAACAAACTGGAGACAATTTTGGTCCTCGAAGCGAACCTTTATCAGGTGGAGGTGAATGATCATTAACAACCGGTAACTCTTCTCTGCGATTAGGAAATGAGAAATGGGTAAAAAGTGCCAAAGCCTGCCTGCCTCACAGAACTGAGGAGGCCTTTGAGTCACTCGTGGGGGTGAAAGTTCTGCATGCTGATACGCTCTGTCACTAACGCCTGGGTGTAGTCAGCTGATCTCTCCAGCGTTATTAATAAGCTACTAATCATGTCTGTGTCAGTTCCTCTCTTTAACATGACCTCTCTTCTCTTCCTTCTTCTGCTTTCCTTTGTTCAGAGAAGCAACAGAAAACTCACCCATTATGGATGGGTCTGAGTCTCCAACTCACCAAAGCACTGATGAATAGAGGTACCGTAAGGGAATGTTTGGTTCTCCTAGCCCTCCCCCCTTCACTGCTCATGAGTTTGTGTGATCTCAGACGTGCTGCATGTGTGCCCCCTGCCCATTTCGTAATTTCCAGAAGGAAACTTCTGAATGGTGTGGGAGCTGTTACTTTTATGTCTTATTTCTAGATACCTGTGGAGCTCTGTTTATATGTATGTGTTTACATCAGATGGTAGATATTCCCAATGCTGTTCCCCAGAAAGGACCTCAGAGTATGTTTTAGCCTTTTCCAGATTCTGCGTACACACTGGCTTAGTGACCATGGTTTAGTCCATGGAAAGAAGAGCATCCTGCAGTTTACATTTCAAAGCACCTAAAGCACACCGAGTTGACCTAGTCCCCTGAAGATCACCCATGATTTTATCCAGCAGGGACAGACGTATACTCTGCCAAATGCCCTGCTTTTCAAAGTGTGGTCCATGCAGGAGCTTTGCAAACATCATCGCCTGGGAGCTTGTTGGAAGGCCAGACTCCTGGGCCTCCTGAATTTGAATCTGCATTTTAATGAGATCCCTGGGTGAATCAAATGCACCTTCAAATTTGCGAAGGACTGCTACAGTGGGCTTAACACCTGGTCTGGTTGTGGCTCCTGGGGACCAGGATCTAACTGGCAGATGAAATTTAAATAGCATTTCAAGAGTCAGCTAAAAAGATAAGGATACCATTCAGAAGTGGAAACAAGTTGTAAGCTTACTCAGCCAAAAAATGGAACCCTGGCTATGTTCCCCGAACCATGCTTGAGACCAGAGTTCAAGTTCAAATCCGCAACTTGAAAAATTGAACAGGAGCCATACAAGGAGAGTAAAGAAGTGCAGGACTTCTGTATTAACTACTCTGAAACTTTACAGCATCCCAAGGGGAGTAGGAGGACTCTGGCTTCAGGGAGACACCTCTAGAACTGGCTTCCACGGCCTGGCGTGGGGTTGAGGAGGCAGGTAGGGGTGTGGAGAGGACATTCCAGGGGCAAAAAGATGCAGCAACAGGCAGAGGTGTTCGGTAAACAGCAAAAAGCTTCATTTTGCTATAGAGAAAGAGCCAGATTTCTCCCTTAAAAAGTAGGGTATGCCAAGATCCTGAACAAATTAGGTGAGAGACCTGGAACAGTTTTTGTTGAAAGTCACCCGAGTTGGCTGATGAAGGATTAGGAAAACAGGGGCTTAGCCTTCCAGAGGAAGATGGTGTTCAAAAAACAAAATTCAACTGAGGAAATAAATCTGAAAGACACTATTGGCTTTATTCACCAATTCATGAATTGGGCAGCATCTAATCCGGCAGGTCAAAGGGAGCTCAGAGGAGCTAATGAGACTTTTACAGGCAGAAGGGAGCAGGAACAAGGGACAAAGTCACTTTTCTTTAGGGCATGACAGGGGTCTATCAGGCCCATGACCTAACTCGGGCTGACCAGGTGACTGACGGGTTTAAGACTCCATTTCTGGAAGATCTGATACTCATTAAGTCAGATCTCAGTTTGGTGAAATGGGTCTTAGCATCAATGACTCCATTTCAGGCCTATTTTCTGGTTTTTAACAGTTCCTGTGGTTTTGTTTTTGTTTTTGTTTTTTTGCTGAATCTCTGCCTGGTATTCACAGGTTCATTCTTCATGTTGGTCTTTCTCTTTGTTCCTTTTCTCAAATTCTGTTCTTAGAGAGAGCCTTTGCTGGGTGGTTTAAAGCTTTTGAGAGGAAAACGTGCATCACTGAGTCATTATTAGAGCAGAATAACGCCCACTGTCTAGAGAGTACTTCAGAGCCATGGTCCCCAGGACCCAGACATATGTTCAAGACCCCACTGAAGGAGTCCCTTTCTTAGCCAGCTGGCTTGCATACCGATCATGTGTAGGGGAGTCTCGGCTTCCCCAGAAGCATCTGTCCAAGAGCAGCAAGTGCTGTTGGCCGCGGCACAGCCTCCGCTCAAAGATAACTGAGGGCTCTCCGATCATCAGAACGACTTTGGCAGGGAGCCTAAGAACTTGTGAGGTGCAGCTCTTGCTCTAGCAGTCGATTCTGCACCAGCTGCGAGGGTGAAGGAGAGGTCCCCAAGTGCAGCCTCGCTTGCACTTCTATCTGGGGGGCGTGTAGGATCTTGCAAGGGAGGTGAACTTTGAATTATGAATGCTTCCTTCTCATTCCCAACTGAATGGGCTTAGGGCTCAGAGGAGGGCAGCCTTGGAGGCCAGTAAAACTCAGTCTGTAGATCCCACAGGAGGTTTTATATGGTTACCCTTGCCTTGCGTCCCTTTCTTTGGCCAGACCTTGGATGCAAAGTTGCCTGGGACTGGGGTTCTTCACTAGGGACTGTGACCTGAGACAGAGGGGCCGGGTTTGGCCCAGAGAAGCTGAAGCATTGGCAGTCAGGCAGAAGCCTGAGACAGGCAGAGCTACAGGAGCATTGTCTTCTCGGGCCAGGAAAGAGGTGGACAAAAGAATCAAAGACCTTCACGGAGTAAGACTTAGGGAAGGATGGTCAGAGAGGGAAGGAGGAATGGAAACCCCACACCTTGGGAAAAAGCTGTCAACCTGGATGTCCCCCGTGTCTCTTCCTAGGCAATTTGATTTTGAGGCCTCCTGCTTTTGCACTGGACCAGAAGTCAGATGGAGCTTTCTCAGTCATAAAATGTGCACCCAGGGCTCAACCCCTTATGATTTGGCAGTAGTGTCAGGGGTCGAGCGTTCTTGGTAGGGTTGTTTTCCATGAGTCTGTTTTGTAAAATCATCAGAGTAAAACAAACAAGTGGCTGTAAATGACTAAACACATAAAAGTGTTCAGGTCTGAGTTCATTCATTATAATGGAATTGATAAGGATATTTGGTTACTTCTATGATACGCAATATTTAAAGATAATAACTAGAATTAGGAATAACATTATACCAGGACATACCAGATTTCTAGAAACTTCATACAGTTTCAAGACCATTTATATTAATAACATCTATACAAATACTCTAAGAACGTTTTTATCACTTATTTGACAAAGCTTCCCATGTAATTTAACATAGCAAGTAAACCTAATTAGTGTAACATCTTTTATAAGGTGAAAGACAAATCCTTGGAGATTTTCCAGGGACAGTCTAGGGAAATCTCAAAGTTACTTTCAGGTCAGAAAGACACCATTGTTGGTTATGGGAAGTTGTCAAAACATCAACAGGTTTGAAGACAGGATCACGGATCCTTATGAAAGAATTATCTACCTAACCAGAGTGACAAAGGCGAATAATAGTCGTGAACAAATAGTTGGGTCTATTAATATTGAGAAGATCAAGTTTTCTTGATAAAGACCACAGGAAGCATGGTAAATTATTTTGCTAAGACACAAAATCTTTGCTGTCCAGGCAGATGACTTAAAAGGTGAAGAATCCTTCATAATTGCTTATCAAAAGCAGACCAAAAGTCCAAGAAAACTTTGTCCTTTTAACAGAAAACCAAATTCTGTTTTTGCACCCGTGTACTTTTGATATTAAAACTCATTTAAAAACTTAAATAAGTCCATTCCCATCTTAGCCAGCTTGACCACACATCACATTCCCTTCCCAAGATCCCTTTCCCACAAGCCGCTTAAATTTTTTTAGATCCATTCAGATTTTGTTCCTTATTTATTTATTTTCCCTCATTCTGGAAGAACCAGTCATTTTATTTCCCTTGCCTACTCTTCATCCACAGTTGTTTCCTTTTATTATTTCTAATTTTAGTTACACATAGGGATGAGAATTCCTCATTCCTAGTAAAAACTAAAAAGCAACTGTGAACTGTTTACACCAACTTTCTGTGGATTGACAAACTTATGTAGACACTTCATGATTTCTAGAAGTATATTCTTCCTCATGGCACAGAACTTATTTACTAAGAGACCCAAATATCTTTAGGCCCTCTGTAAAAGGAAGTGAGAAGTGGATGAATCTGTGTTCAGTAATTAACAATTCATTATTTTATTTGGAAATTGTCTAGATACCATTGGAAAGTCCATCCTTTAACTGTAGCTTTAAGGTTTCAACTTACCAAAAAGATTTTGGAAACTATTTTCTACGTAGACCTAACATAAGCATAACAATTATTGAAAAGTTCATTTATAAACCTTTATCACTTTTATCTATTTAATTATCTTGTTAACAATTTTTAGATTACTCAGTCTCATGAGCATTAGATATCAGATTATCTTTGTGGTGACAAATTCTGTAACAGAACATGAGCTTATATGACTTTTAGTTAACCTAGGAAGGAAAGAAGTATTCTATTTCATGCTGTTAACTCCAAAGACATGCCTATTTTATTTAAACTAACCAACTTAAATTAGCTTTTATTAAGATTACATTAGATCCCATGAACTTGAAAGAAATTTGGGTCTTTATTATTCTGAGAGTACACATAATTTGTATAGCCCTTGTTTGTCTTTAAGCCAATTAAATGGAGCTCTTGACAAATTAATTTTGGTAATACCTCCAGAGGAGAGAAGCTCACACCTGTGTAACTTGCATGCACAGACGTACAAAATCATAGAAACAAAGACCTTACAGCTTTTGTTTTAAATTTTTTAGCTATGAGACCGGGAAATAATGCAAAACCCACCAGTTTAAAAAAGAACGGTTGGATCCAAATTGTGCTTTTGGCAAAAGGTTAAGATGACAGGCTGACATGGCTTAAACTTTTCACATGTTTGTGAAGACAAGATTTTTCATTTGCTTAGTTTCAAAATAACCTTTCCAGCCCCACTCCCCGGGCTCCTTTTCCCTTTTTTTCTGCCCCTTTTCCCTTTTGATAAGAATAACCTGGGTTCCTAGAGAAGACCATACAGAACACTTACATCGCGACGGCACAGAGGAAGCACAAGTTCCTCCAAGACGGAGTTTTATTGTCCTGAGGCCAGAATTTCACGGTAACTCTAAGCCTATTGAGATAGATGGGAGAGTTTGGGGCTTGGTAAAAATGCTAGGCTGGCTCTGAATTGCTTCCACTCGAATCGCTGCACATCTGTTCTTATAAAAGACTCAATTCCTAAGAAATCAGGGAAGCCGACTCTCCTTTGCCAGCTTCTGCCACTTTTCCTGGGCCCTCTCCGGTAGGCTCCTAAGCAAGTGGCACTTGAAGTAGAGCATATAGCCCTGGTATCTTCCAGAATTGGACAAGGCTTTCCATGAATTTCAGTTGTAGTTTTCTGTTGGCTGTTTCATGGAGTAACCAGTAGCAGGTGACCAGAAAACCCCTCAGAGTCCTGTCAACTATGAGTAGGGCTCCTGTGCAGGCCCACCTTTGGGGCCAGTAACAGGGCAGACTTTTGCTTACGACCATGTGGTCTCTCCAGAGTGGAAAGGCACTTCAGAGGATTAGTTAGATCATAAGTACTCAGAGTAAAAGAGGTTAAAGGCAAGTAGTAAGACCATGTCAGTCTTACCATCTTTGGTTTTAGCTTCCTCTTCTTTCATTTTTCATTATCCTCTTGGAGTGACTGTTTTAATGAAGCTATTTTGGAATCATGAAGCCTTCTGGAGCCTTCCACATGCCAGTGAAAAAAAGTAGTTCATCCAGTTTCATTTGGCAAACCTTGCTTTCAGGTTCACTTAAATGAATGAACTTGTCTAACTGGAATGTTCCCAATAATGTCTAACAACCTCAATAAGGAGGCCCACTGAGGCAAGCTCAAATTACCGGAAATTGAGTTTATTTGGGAATGGCGGAAAAATTCAGTTTGGGAAATGCAGGCTGTAGCAAGCTACAGGTGGGCGCTGAGGGCTTGGGGCCACCTGGATTTGCAGAGTGCAAAGAGGGAGAAGTCTAGCCAGAGTGTAAACACATTCATGGGCTGGAGGACAGGAGGAGATCCTAAGCATATGTTCGCTGGTTAGGCAGTAAGTCTCAGTCTTCTGTAAGTCGGGCATTTATGGAAAATCAGTCTCTGAGTTCTGAGGGCACATGCATGAGATTCTTTAATTTCCTATTCTCTGGTTTCATTTTAGATTGAAATCCTTTCACATTCTCCACCCTTGCTGAAGATCTTTTGCAGAAAGCATTGCTGATCAACCATGTTGTTTAGGCATTATTTTCCCTTTTTTTTTACCTTGAGTCCAAGTCCCTTGGAGCCGAGGAAGACCATCCTCAAGTGTCTTGTGCCCCAGAGGAGGGAACTGGAAAGTGGATCTCATTGGCCCCATTTGAACAAGCAGCAACGTCAAAAACCAGACCATGCGTATTGGCAGGGGTCAGGGAAGTTCAGAAGGGCGTGGATAGAATTGGCTTTCCTTTGCTGATTTATGGGAAGAGCGTCATTTGTGTAAGGATAGCTTATGTTTCCTTATAAGAACCTGCATTGATGGTCTCCGTTTTGTCCTTGACATAATTCCATCTTAGTTTGGTTCTACATTTCCCCTTTTTGATCCAGCAGTCACCCAGTACACATTGCCAAGTGTTTTTTGCATGGACTTCGCCTTTTGATGAAGGTTCTTCACATTGTTTCTTTTTCTTCACCATGCCATGAATGGACCCCTTTTTCAGGGTGAGAGCTGCTTCAGGAAGAGCAGCAAGCAAAAGGCCACACTTGAGCAACTTCTAACACTAGGTCAAAGCAGCAGGTCAAGGCAAGGAGACTTTGTCAAGGGTATACATGTGAGACATTTGCTTCCCCAAGGCTTTGAAATGCTCTCAAGTTTGTTATTTTTACAAAATTAAAAAAATCACACCACAAAATGACAGGATAGAAAGACCCAATTGTAGCGTAGATTTAAGCCATAAACCTAATCTTTTTGGGAATCAGCTGAATGAATCAAAATGTCAAGATGAGTCAGATTGGACTTCCAGTGTCCAACTGTTGTAACCAATGGGAACCTCGATGTCCCCAGAAGTGTTAATCCAAGTCTGAGTGTTGATTGATTATGACGCATATGTCCTGTTCAGCTAAGGCTGAAGGGCTGGCTGACGATCAAAGACAATCCTAGGTAGAGAATCTAGGGAGTTATGCTGGGTGGCTTTGGCCTGAGCATTAGAGTTGGCAGTGGCTTGATGGATTAAAGCGAAGTTTGGGGTCCTGTCCTCATTTGCACCCACTCCTAACCAGGGAAATAGGGATCGTGAATGCTTCCCGGTTTCCTCTAACTTGACAGTGTAAATTCAGGAGAGTTGAGCAGTGAGGTGGCTCAGTTTGGCTGTGGACAGTTAGGGGTACAGTGAGAGAACCGAAGAGATATTGCCTGCATGTATGCCAGTCTGGGCACTCGTAGGTCCAGGAGAGTGATGACCACCCCGGACAAAGAGGAATCCTATTGGGGCACAGACCACTCCTGCTAAAACAGCATTGTTCTGTTGGTTTTAAAGATTGTATTCATTTGAGAGAGAGAGTGCATGAGCAGGGAGGAGGGGCAGAGGGAGAAGGAGAAGTGGACTCCCTGCTGAGCAGGGAGCCCATCGTGGGGCTCATCCCAGGACCTGGACATCATGACCTGAGCCAAAGGACATGCTTAACTGATTTAGCCACCCACGCATTCCTAACAGTCTCTTCAGCACTGTTAATACAGTGACTCGTTTGTATAGATTGTCACATTTGCTTGTTCAAGCCCAGAGTCAGTTAGGTTTTAGGCACATTCAGGAAGCCAATCTCCTAACCTTGAAATAAAGAGTGGCTCTAAATTCCTTGCAAAAGCAGGTGCTGCTTCTGGTGAAAATTCTTTGTGATCAGGGGTAGATCTGATTTAGATAATCATAAGAACATGGTGATGCCAATGTACAGTGGTGAGCAGACGTATCTGTATCTAATGCCAGATACAGGTATCATCAGAGAAAGATAAAAACAAGGTGCTGGGAAGCCTGACTTTAAAGAAGTTTATATAAACTGTCGTGGGGCAGGGGGTGGGGGGCCTCCATCATCATGGACAGATCAGTTTTCAAAGGCAAATCCAGCAGTCTGAGAGGTTATCTCCCTTGGCAATTGCCTGGGAGGTACAGGGGAGGGTACAGTCTTTCCAAGTCAAGGAGCAACAGGAAAGAGCAAACAAGAGGAAGAAAAACACAGAAGTGGAGGAGTCTGATGAATTTTTGCCCATCATTTCATGGTAAAGGAGAACCAGTGATACAGGCCTGGTCCGACATCTTGGGAGAGCAGGCTCCATCCGATGCATCGGCTGCTGGCACCAGAGATCTTAAGTTTGAGAGCACCAGTGATTTCGCAGCTCCCTTCAGGTCCCGTGAGTCTGTAATCGGGACAGATGAATCCAGGGGCAGATGCAGGAATTGGTGAGCAGCAAGCTCCTTTCAACCTAGGGGAGAGGGAGTCCTTTACCTGATATCTCCTGCAGTGTGAGTATTCTCCAGGACGTGGCTCATGAAGGGACTCGGAGGTCAGGGTGTGTTGTTTTGTTTTTTATTTATTTATTTATTCATGAGAGACAGAGCGGGAATGAGAGAGAGGCAGAGGGAGAAGCAGGCTCCATGCAGGGAGCCAATGTGGGACTCGATCCTGGAACTCCAGGATCCCACCCTGGGCTAAAGGCAGGCGCTAAACCGCTGAGCCACCCAAGAATCCCCCCAAGGTGTATTCTTGTTCAGCATAAGCTTCTTGAACTTGTGTCAGATATTTCTGGCAACAGAGTAAGTGGCAATATTTTAATAGGTCTTATTGGACAATTGGAGAGTCAGAGTACAGGGAAGGAGGCAGATGCGTGGATCTGCCAGTTACCATTCTGTAGGGAGCAAACTTTTCAAAAGGATAGGACACTAGATGCAAAAGGACCAGTCACAGCATCTTGGTCCAGAGAAATTCCAGAAGTTTCCTAATGGAATTTTAATGACACCATTAGTCCTTTCTTCTCGTCCTGGGGAGTGAAGATGATAAGGCATATTGCCACAGAGGAAGGACTGTACGCGCTCTGGGATTACTGGGCCAGGAAGGTGACCGCACAAAACTGGGGGGGGGGGGGTCACCCTGATGGTGTTCTCAAATAATTTTTTCGATACAAAACTGGCAGTGGTTTGTTGACAAGGAAAGCTGCTACCCAGTGAGAAACAGAGACCATGACCGATACGTATTTGTTCACTTAATTACGTTTACGCTAATCATGAAACTTCTCAAGACATTAAAGTACCTTCCTTGCTAACAAGTTTGGTAACAGAGATAACATGAATTCAAATCACTAAAAGCTGTATCTCTATGTTACATTTAATGCTGATAACAAAGGCATTCCTACTTTAAACCTACAAACTTGAACTAGCTTTTACTTAGGATTATCCTAGATCATATGAATTTGACAAATATGTGGCTTCTGTATTTGTGACAGTTTAATAAGTCAACTTAATAAGCCAATTAATTAAAACTTTTACAAATTAACTTTGGCAGCACCATCCAGAGATAGAAAAATGTCACCATTTACAACATGCATGCCTAGACATAGAGATCTCACAGCTTTCATTTTAAGTTTTAGTCATGAGACCAGTATGAACGTGCAAAACTGACTAGTTTACAAAAGAACAGCTGGATCCAAATTACATTTCTGGAAACTGGAAAAAATTAAAGTTACCTGCTTAGGTGGCTAACACAGTTGTGGAGAAGACATTTAAGATTTTTCATGCACCTAAGTTCCAAATAGCCTTCCCTCCTTTTTTTTTTTTTTTTTTTTTTTCCCCTTCTGGCAGAATTACCTCCCTGAAGATGACTTCTAAGGGAAATTCCTGCAAGTACAAATTTTCCATCATCCATCTCATAGAAGAGCTTTGTTTCTTAAATCCAGATCTTTGAAAATACCTGCAGGCCTTCTGAGATGGTTAGGGAAGGTTTGGGGTGTGGTAAGATTGACAGGTGGCTCTGACTTGGTACTAAAGCTACGTTTGTTCTGATAGAGACTTGATTTGTTCTCAGACAGGGTCCCCCACTGTTAATTCTTCAGTTGGGTTCCAACCGGAGTGACCGCACAGGCTGACCCTGCAGCCCACTCCATTATCTTCAGTTTCTTTGTATCTGAGAGATCCTCAGCTAGGATGGAAATCAAGAATCCTATGTTCTAGATCTAGAGCTTAGTCTCTGGCTTATTCTGGTAAATCCTTCCACAAATGGCTTCAGAATGTTTTTCTTTCCCTCTGGGTCCACAGTTTCATTTCAGCTTGGGGGAGAGAGCCCCCCAAAGAGTTGCTGTCAGGCACTGAAGATGACTTGTGTTTCCAGGGTGGCCAACTTCTGATCATAAAGCTACTTAATCCTTTCAGCTATCTTGTCAGGTTTGAGCTCCAATAGTAAATATTCCCGCTAGTGTTGAACATCGTCAGGACTCCAGAGGTGCCCTCAGAAGGGGTATAAGGAATGCCACTCTCCCAAGACCAGAGCCACTCCCAGGGAGGACCAACAGCAAAGGCTGAGGACTGGCGATAAGCCGTGGGAGCCCAGGCACACATGGAGTTCAAGCCACATTTCTGCCTGGCCATACACCGGGGCCCCCAGCGTCACGGTCACCAGGCTCTCAGGACACAGTAGACGAGGCCAGCGGCGGTCCCCGGGAGAGAGAGGATCAAACCCATGGATCTGGAGGTGGAAAGGAAGGGATGTGCGATGTTACCTTCCTCTCGGGTGGGCTGCAGAGATTCGGGAGAGGGACGCTGGTAAGGATCCTCGCCCTTTGCTGGCTTCTCCCGGTTTTTCCAGGATTGCCGTCCATGGGCTCCGGAGCGGGTCGGGTTTAAAGTACACGGTATAACCCATGCGCTGCCGGAGTCCGACAGGTGCCCCTTTTTCCAGAAATAACTGGTAGCAGAAGAGACTCCCTCAGCGTCCTGTCGGCCCCGCGGGGGCCCCATGTGGGGACCCTCCTCTGATGGACACGCTGTGTGTGGTCGTAGGGTCTCTTGCGAGCGGAAAGACCGCGCAGATGGAGGATTAACGGCCGAGTAAAGGAGGTTAAAGGGGAGCAGCAGGCGGACGGTCTTCTGTTTTACGTACGGCTTCTTTCACTTTTCATTACCTTTTTTACAATGAGTCTTTACATGAAGCAGTTTCAGAATTTTGGAGGCTTCCAGAGGTTTCTGCATGCCGATTACAATGGGCACCCCATTCGTCTGGGAGCCCTTGCATCCACGTGCACTTGAATGAACTTGTCTAACTGGAACATTCCTCATAATGACTGCTGGGATTCTAGGTTGTCTTCAGTAGCGCTGGTCCATGTGCCTGAGAGACCAGAACTATTCAGCACAAAATGCCCACGGCCCCAGTGCCCGGCTTGAGGGGACCCTGGGCAGGTGTGTTCCTCTTCCGAGGCCGCGTGCGCGCCAGCCTCCACTTCGCATGCTTGGGTTTTGCTTCCCGGCGGCTGCTGTGATCCCAGCTTGGTTTACCGAGATCCTGCGGTCTTGGCAGGGACCTACCACTCCCGGGCCGCAGCTCCTACGGAGAAAGAAGCCGGAAGGTGGCACACGCAGGTCCTCAGGGGCCGTGCCGCCGGGCAGGGGACCTTGGGGTGGTTCACATGTGCACCTCGTGGCATGGAAGTGTCCTTGAAGTTGATGGGTGACCTGCTGTCCATCTGACCCATTCCATCAGCCACCTGCCCCAGCTCGGGGGTCGGGTTAGGTGACCGGGGCTCTAGTGGCTTTTTTAAGTGCTTGACCTCTGTCTCCCAGTTGTGCAGCGTTGGCTCCAGAGATTCTAGTACCAACACATGTGTCACTCCCTCACCTCACCTGCAGTGACCTGAGACACGATATTTGGACTGGCCCAGAGAAGGCCTGAAGTGTGCACCAGCCAGCAGTTCCCACCCTGGCACTCTGGACGCAGCCAGCACACCCCAACGAATGGGTGCTGGGGTCCAGCCAAGGGCTGGGACTGGGGCTGCAGCTGGCCCTACCAGCCCTGGCCTCAGACTGCACACAAGCAAGGACTGAGGCCTTGTTAACACTGCATCAGGAAGCTTAACTCAGAAGGGGTGACCACGAGACGGCAAGGGGTCCTCAGGCACCACTGCCTGTGTTCCTGAAGCTGTCTGAAGTCTCCTTGGGAGCCCCAAGGGTCCCCACCACTGCCACCAAACTGTTTAAAATTTACTCAGCTGAATTTTGTTTCTTAAAGATCTTACTGGCTTTTTACTCAATCCAGTTGCAATCCCAATTCCTTGAGGAACTCAAAACTAGTGACCCTGTCTTGCAAACACCATCTTTACGGAACACTAACAGGATTCCAATGCCCAAACCTCCCCTATTCACCTCAAAAGGCTTTGTATTTTTTAAAACTCTGGATTTAGGAAACCAAATCCTTCCTGGAGAAACTTGCCTTCTTTCCGTGTGTCTGAGACGGAAATGCTCCGTGGGTCTCCTCCAGGAACTATCCTGTGGGCCATTTCTTTAAAGTGTGAATGTCAAGGAGGTCATTCCTACCAGGAGGAAAAAAAGAGGGGGAAGGCTATTTGGAACTTGGGTGAATGACAATCTTAAATGTCCTCTCCACAGCTGCGCTAGCCATCTGAGCAGGTAACCCTAATTTATTCCGACTTCCAGAAACACAGTTTGGATCCAGCTGTTCTTTTAGAAACGAATGAGTTTTGCTGCATGGAGCCTGTCTCGTGGTTGGGGCAGAAGCGCAGCCAGAGCTTGCTAGTTGTCTCTCGTCTGTCCCTGCTTCCTGCTTCTGCTAACTACAGTCTCGGGAAGTAACACATCCTCCTTGGGGGAAGGCTGCTTGGGCCTCTGCTGTTGGGTGAACCAGGGACTGTGACCTGAGGATTCTAAGTGGCCCTCTGGGTCACCTGTTCACCCGGGGGGGCAGAGGGCACCACCAGGACCGCGGGGAGTTAGGGCAGGACTGTCCCTCAAAATACAGCATATGTCCCCTGTGGGTTGGCGTCTCTACCCCGAGGCGGCATCGGCTCTGGGGCATTAAAGACACACAGACCTGCCAACCCCGAGGCACAGGCCCTGTCATTCAGGGCAGTGTCACTTCAACCCCAGGAGGCTCAGGGCCCCCGGTTTCATCCCGGTTTCATCCCGGTAGGAATCAGGCCAGATCAGCGCGCAGAGGGTACGAGGAGTTATGCTAGGGACACAGGCGCTCCAGGCTGCACCTGCTGCTTGGGCCCAGAGCCCAGACAGGAGCCAGCCAGCACCAGGGCAGCCACCAGGCGCGCGCGGGGGGCGGCGGGGGGGCCTTCATCTCCTCAGCCCGCCTCCTGACACCTGCCGGGTGAATGCCACCCCCTTCCTGTGGCCATGGGGGTGAAGTCTCACCTTTGCTTTTAGCCTGGAACAGCCAGGCAGGGCTCAGAAAGGGGCTGCTGTTCCTAGTAGTGCTTATTGGCTTCGGCACGTCTGTGTCCTCACCGCTTTCCCTCTCCCCAGCCTCCATGGTGAGGCGTGCCTGAGGGATGTTCAGAAGTCTCTTGTTTTCATTCTAGTTCAAAAATGTAAAGATTTGGGGAGAGCCCCCAGAGAGCGCGCGCACAAGCGGCAGGCCGAGGAGGGGCAGGCTCCCGCCAAGCAGGGAGCCCGATGTGGGGCTGACCCCAGGGCCCGGGATCCCGCCCTGGGCCGTAGGCGGACGCTCCACCGACTGAGCCACTGGGCTGGCACCCCGCTATCCACTTTTATGATCAGAAAACAACGCATGTTATTTAAAATAAATAGCACTGACTCAAATTTTAAACGCCCCTCAAAGTACCATCTCTGTTTCAAGTGACATTTGGAACGTGCTTCTAAGAGAGAACACGCAGGGGAAGGGGGCGATGCCTGGGGTCTCCTGGAGGCCGACCGGGCCACTGTCTCTGTAAAGAGCAGCCGTGGAAGCACCTGGGCCGCCGCCACCCTCCTCCCCGGGGCCCAGAGTATGGGGCCCTCCCGGGGCCTAGATTTCCCGGGTGCGGGCCAGCCTCCCCCTGGACAGGACAACCACCCTGCCCCGGGCCTGGGCAGCAAAGGCGCCCGTCCCGCCCTCGGCCGACGCCTGGCCTCCCCTCCACTAACCAGCTCCTCCCCTTGGTTCCCCGCAGGAGCTGCACTGACAGCTGTTTCCTGGATGCCTCCCTCTATCCAGAACTAGCCGACGTCCAGTGGTACGGGCAGGAGAAAGCCAAGCCCGGGACCCTCGTGTGAGCCAGCCGGCCTCGACCTGACCGCCTCAACGCCATTCAGAGATCACCTCACTGCCTCTCATTTGCCTTACCCAGACGCACTGTCACCCTGCACCAGCTTTGGCCCTCAGCACTTTCTTTCTCCCGTCTCCGCGTCCCTTTCACCCTCAAAAACCTGACTGAGGAGACATTCTGGAGGGTTCCGGTCCCACTGTGTGTCCCCTGGCGCTCCCACCCACGGAGAGCCAGGCACCAATCCTCAACGGCACCTTGGTGGCCTCCCCCTGCCGTGACAGCCCCCAGGCCGGGAACCATCAGGGAAGGGAGCTGCCGTCCAATTCCTGTGGACAAGTGGCATGAGAACAGGAAAGAGGACTTCCGTACAGGGTGATCCAGAAGGATGACGAAGCGGTGGTCAGCCTGCCACCCGCAGGCCCACCAGGCACCTGGTGAAGAGGACGCCTCGCGCATGCGCCGCGTGGGGAACACGCAGTTGACACTTGAAATATTCCCTGAGGGAG